AAAAAGGTACGGATCTCATGAGATTAGTTACTATTTGTTCAGGTGAATCCATCAAGTGTTATTCTTTAATGTAAAAAGAACAAGCTTTGGGTAGTCTGCTAGGATAAATATTTTCGTATCTTATGGGATTTAAGATGAAAATAGAATGACCCCTCGCTTTGTTGTACAGCTGAAGCCATTTCAATTAAGAAGCGCAAAGCCTATTAAACTGTTCTCAATTAATCCTCAATAATCCACAAGTTGATTCGCTAAGTAAGAGCGTACCGACGGTCTAAAAATGAAAAGAAAAACATTAAAATAGTTCCATGACTTTAGAAAATCTATTTTGAGTATTGTCAATCAAATCAAATCCAACGGGCTTCCTGTGTAAAAACACAGGTAACCCATTGTGACTTACACAGCTTGTTTATGGTTTCTTATGTTCTAATGAATGCAACACAATTCATATTAAAGTTTAAGGAAAAAATCACATCATGGATTTGCGTATCGTATATAGCACTGTTGATTTTGACAAATGTCTTTCTTTGGGCTTGCTGTGGTATTGAGGAAGTGCCAGGTTGCCAAGCAGCAAAAATGGCGGAAAATTTCAGTGMCTGCAATTTCTGCAAGTTTTAATTGAATTTGTGGATGATAAGAGGTGAAACTGCTGAGTTGAAAGCCAGAAAAGATTCTACGTGGACTTCCAAACAAGGTAATTAAATAAAGATATGTAACTATACTGATTTCGAATCTTTGAGAGAGTTTGTAAACTATTGGCGCTCATAAGAAATTTTATAACCGCGGGGGAAAGTATCGGGGAGATTAAAATTTCAACAATGTTAAAGACTCGGCATTTTCCGGCTAATAAGTGCGTCGAAACAGATAATTTCCTTTGATTTAGACGCTACTTGTTAGATTTCCCCGTGGGTCGATGCTATGAAAGCGCAGATAAAAGTTTACTGTAGCTGTCAGCTGCATTGCTTTTTTGTATTTCATCTCTAATGTTTAATTCGCTAGATCTGAGCTCCTTTGRCGTCTAATTTGCTACAAACGTGTCCGGCTTATTATGTGCTCAGTACAATCACACGGTATTTGGTGGGTTTTTGTTCACGGTTTTTGATACCCTGATTTCAATTTGCGGTCAATTTTTCTGGAAATGGTGCTGTTTTGGCTAGTAAAAGTATAGAGTTTGTGTTATAACTTTGTTATAACTTCTGCCTCTGGACATCAACAGACAAGAGATATAATGCCTGTTCTGATTGGCTATATAGGGTAAATTTAATTGTTCCAAATATGAGATGAGATGCAAATTAGATATTCCAACGGATTGCACGGTGCAACATGGTTCAAGTCCCTTATAGGTTTCTGGATGCACTTAATGACAGAGGAATGGAAATCAGTAGTCAAAAATCATACACTGCAATATAGTGACAGCTGTAAGTGTCGTTTATATTTATAGAACTTGAGTGCGTGTTTTATCAGGATTTATAGATTCGAGCMGCAGGCGAGAATCTATATACCCGATTAAACACGCACTCGAGTGCTATAAATGACTTCTA